AGATTCTCACTGCTGTGCTTTAACCCGCTGCGCCACCAGGGAGGGCCTAAGTTTATTATTTTTAACATATCCTGTTTGTCTTAGGTTCTTATATCAAAGGGTCATGATATGTGGCTGTTATAAAAAATAGAGCTTACCAAATACTATTGACTGATGTAGGTATTTCAGTTCAAAAATATAGTTCAAAAATGCCCTCAAAATACTGTATACACTTAGAATATAAGATATTCCCTTCGTTGATGGCTATCATCAATGATAGAGCCATATAACATTTTTAACACTGGGACTGGTCCAAGGCATGGATGTCTGCAAGACCACAGTGTAGGTTAGGGAGTTAGTATTCAGTGGTATTCAAAACAAAGACCTTGAAACAGGTGAACTTAAATTCAAATTTCAGCTCTGACCCTGCCTAAACTTAGGGCATTGGCAATTACCTAACCTTTTCAAGTCTTTAAAACTTCATTTATAAAATGGACAGCTTTCTAAATTTGAAGTAAGGATTGGATGAAATGATGGAGTACTGATAAGTGCATGACTCAGTATAATTTTTCTAGCCTCCACTCGCTTTGGAAGAAAGTTACTCATTCGTCATTTAAAAGCTAGTTAAAGGCCTTTATTCAATTGTCAGGGAAATTGAGTCTAGACTATCTCTTTATTTGTCATATTTTTTCCACTTGTAAATTTAGAGAATATTTAGTCTTATCTGTTTACTTCATAGGGATTTAAGAATGGCTTAGTGAACAAATGAGAGAAGAAAATAGCTTTGAACTGCTTCAATGAAAGATGCCACAAAAATCAAAAGGTGTTCTATAGGTAGTTTAAACTTGTTTTAAACTAAATGTGACATGAATTTATTATGAGTATAGACCTTTATGGCATTATACTTTGTGATAACTTGAGTACTAAAATCTTTTGCTGATGTGATAAATGTCTAGAATCACTGCTTATCATAACAGGACAAATTGAATTCAGAGAATAACTTAATTGAGCATATATCAACTTCCTCTTGATGATCATCTGCATAAATCAGAAGTGCTGCTCATAAATGACATATTTCCTGTGACAAAAAAATTACAAATTACAAAATGTGCCACTTAGCGTAATAGTCATATTTCAAAATACATATTTCAGGAATTGAAGTAAGAAAACTTGAAGTACCTAAGAATTGATGTTATATATGTGGTGGATACAAAATATTGAAAGTACAAGACAGTAATTGTCTTCCAGAATTTAAAGGTCTGAATAACTACAGATAACCTCATCACTTTTGTCATAAATGAGTTATTAATCTTTGAAGTAACAAACACAAAATTTTTTTAAAAGTAAATTTCAACATGCATTTTGTCATAGA